CTGTTTGTTACCCCACATATGGAAACCCTTACAGTATTGTGTCCACAGGGGACGGCCGCTCTGAAGTTGCAGAAGGAAGATAAGCTAACCTTGAAACCAGGCTGCAAAGGGTATTCATCACATTGTGACATGTTGAGCTATGGATGACGCCCCTCCCCCCCGCCAGGCGTGATGCGCCGAGCGAAACCGAAGTGAGCCGACGTTAGACGAGTCCTAGCATCCTGGTCGCTAGGCAACGCGAGTCAACAGCGGTGACGTCACCAAGTAGTAACAGCGGTTACTTCCGCTAGCGTTACTAGCAACACAGCGCCAGGCAACAAAGGTGCCTATTGCGTGGCCGTTTTCCGTATTGTCCGATCGAGGCTACATAAGGAGCAGCGAAGGCTATTCACAGTCAGTTAGTCCTGGAGCTACCTACGAGTCAGTCCTGGAGCTACCGCCGAGTGAGTACTGGAACTACCTCCGAGTTAGTTCCGAGTTAGCCAGCAACTATTCAGTTGTATTCTGGCATTTGGAGTGTACTAATTGTGATACTGCAGATAGCAGTAAGCGTAAATCTGTAATTTGGGTTATTGTAAGAGCGGATGTGAAATAAAATTCGCTACATCAAATACATCGTGAAGTTATTTGTCGCGTTATACACCCAATACGCTACAATATATAACCTTCTATGCTGTATCAACATTTACAACAAATGTGACAAATGATTACATACCCTCTGCACCCATTGACTTTGATTGTTGCTTTAATGACGTAGAAAAGATAAAATTCAAAGATTTGCCACTACAAGTACCTTTGGCAAATGTACTGTCTAATATGGACGATTTAAAAGTTGCTAGTATGAAAGCAGATGAGATCGAGCAGACAATTAAAGACCAAGAATTGAAACAGGATCAGAAGTGGTATCAAATGGCAACTTCCTGAGGAACAACCCTTGGAACAATTTGTATTATTATAATATGTGTTTGCTGTAGCTGTTGCTGCTGTAAGTGTTATAGAACAGGGTTCTTTTGGTTTTGGAAAAGATGGAACCCAAAGGAATGTTGGCAGGACACACAGGGGAAATGCTGTGTAAGCATTTGCAACTATAATGGTTCCATAATGGTTCCAGGGTCGAGTATACAAAGATCGACACGTTTTCCGCAATCTCCATGAAATCCTTGCCAGGAGTAGGAACCTCCATTACCACCCAACCAGAAAGTGGTATGTCGAGAATTGACGACGAAACAGAATCAATATCAAAAAGAACTAGAAGCCAGAGAATGTTCCGTTGAGACAAAATGTTTTCACCTTTTAGGGTGAAAACTTGAGAGGAAGGGGGGTGTAACGTGTAATACGTGTTGTGATGTATGTAACTTGATAAGAATTATTTTAATGAAACCAATGTCAACTAATCATGTAATCATAATATAGGGAAACGTAGAATGTATTAGTAAACAATATTATAAGTAATAACATTTGTGGTATCATATAATGAAGATACTAATGTGGATTAACAAGCCACTGTAACTATTATTATATTATAAGAACAAGAGTGTACCTCGGGCCGAGGGTCGCAGGAAACCATGTGTAATCAGTATAGCAAGCCAGGACAGGCGACACTTTTGAGGAAGCTTTTAGCCAAAGGTTTAAGTAACCTAAGTATTTCTGGTCCATTACCATGAATCTGTCATGACCCTCCTTCCGGGTCTTCCAATAAGGAAACCATCTTACGTGTATTTATGTGTAACATTTTGAAAAGTATTTTGCACTTTAAACGCATTATATAGGAGGAATCTGGGGTTGAGACACAAACTTAAAGTTCTCTCCCACGTTCGGGCTAAGGCTCTGAGAGTTGTGTTTCTTGTAACCTTAATTCACAGCTGACCCTAATGCATTTTGGAGGGGAGATGTGAGTGCATTCCTGTGAACCAACGCCCAGTTTGGTCCTTTAAGAAGGTACGTGTAAAAACACACGGTATCAGATCTTCTGGTCACATTATAGAGGGCGAAGCTCTGCTTCTCTACAGTTAAACTTATTCCTTGTACTTCCACCACGCTGGTCTGTTAGATTCAGTAAAGCGAGATCTCCTGTTGCAACCAAGAAGACTTAGTTTTTCTTGCTTACCTACAAGTCTCCGTAACTATCCTAATTTATTGTCGAAGTCTAGAACATCCTGAGGCATCGACATTGTGACGTCTAGCTGTCATCGATAGACCATGCTTACGACATCACCGGTGGCAGCGACATTACAAAAGTGAATGGTCATGTCAAGGAGGATGAGGTGGGCAAGACATGTAGCACGAATGGGGGAGACGTAGAATGCATATAGGATACTGGTGGAAAAGCCAGAAGGAAAGAGACCACTAGGCGTACGTGGGTGGACAATATTAAAATGGATCTTAGAGAGATAGGGTGGGAAGTTATGGATTGGATTGATCTGGCTCAGGATAGGGACCAGTGAACAGCTCTCTTGAACGCGTAGTTAACGACTGTCAAACTATACAGGTTTATGTGGGAAACTCAAGCTGAAAAAGCATTTGGATGTGGTCGTTGCCTAATATAATGCACTGTCACGGCATTTGCCTTTCTTACCTCAGTCCAGTGAGCCGGTCTCCGCACAGACTTTACGGTTTCATATGAAGGAAACGCTGAGAAGAGGCGGGGTTCGAATACCGTAAGGGCAGTCAGTACGGATAAAGCACGGCTTGAATTGCATAAACATCCTGAGAGTTAACAGTGCAGCACGGCAAGATACATTCCATTCTTCTGCGCATTATATTCGCGACAAACGCAAGATCTTTGTAATATGTACACACTGGTCCATAAATACTGTGAAAACAGAGTGCACACAATAAAGAATAAATAGAACTTAGGGAGAAAACATACTCTGCAATATTCCGTTACGCCCGGGTCTTCGTTGAAAAGTTGATATACCAAGAACTTCCTTCCACCTTCAAAGTACATACACGTATGCATGGAATAATTTCGGTCCTCAAACTATTTCACCAACATCCATTTTAATATTATCTCCCAATCTAATCTTGATTCCACCAAATATACTCTACACAGATCCACTTGTTCGCCGCCATTCCTGCTGTATGTCCTGCCCATCCTAAACCCGTGAATTTCTCTCTCCAATATTCTATGTAAAATAGGCCTACATACTAAGAAGTTTTCCTTCTCTCTGCCTGTCACACACATCCTCTTTCTCTTGTCCACACATTCATTGTTGAGGTCGACAAATAAGGCGGAAAACCAAGACTTCTCTTAGTAATCTTGTCCACGGACTTTTTCACCCTCGTTTTACTTAATGCCAAACTTTCAACAACACGTAAAAGTAAAAATGGTAAAAAGAAGATAAAGTTGGTACATTAACTAAGGGGAGTATAGATCTACGTCTTTTTTTAACTCGACACTAGTTGCAGATGAGTAATCAGCTTCACGCCTAGGCCGATTTACCCCCGGGAAAATAGCCCCCGGCACCCATAGGAGGCTGGGTGGTCCCAGAGCCGCTCCAAGGACTACAAAAACCCGCCACGTATGCAGCCTATTTCTCCAAAAAGTGCTTCCGGCCTCGTCGCGCATTAATTACATCGACTTTATTGGGCGCCGGTTAAATGGCGTCACACCAACTCTTCTTAATTCGTTTATACAGGGGGTCTCTTTATTTTTGTTATAAGTGTTGGTCTGGGCTGGATAGCGAGCCTGGTTCCAGCCGCCAACAATCTTATAGCAATTTTATTTATGGGTTGATCGAGAGCTGTGTATCCTCGACGGGTGCTATAGTTGTGAAGTTCAACCGCTGTACGTGGAAGATATTCAATGTCCTCTAACACAGAAGAGAGGATAGACAAATGATATTTTATTATTCCTTCTGGTGACTACATACCGTATATAGATGTATGAAGCTAATATGTCTTAAGGGGGGTTTCAAGAAATGCTGTAGTGACGCCCGCGTGGCAGGCGAACATTCTACCACTGTACCACCGGTGCCACCATGTATTACGCCTTTGCGACAGGGGTGGATTGGATATCTTACCTCTGTCACCATATATTATGCAGTGGTGACGGGGGTGGGTTAAAAACACACTAAATCACTACGGCTGCCATCTCTCTTTGGCTAGTCCATTCACTACGTCAGTCAACCCTGCGCTGTCTCGTCCCACAGCCGTTACCATAGGTAATGGTTCGATGGCAGGGGTGGGTAAAACACAGTTACTCATTGTCTACGTCAGCCACCTTGCGTTGGCCAATCCCCACCTTGTTATGCCTGAAGGGGGCTAAAGAAATAATACTAAATTACTCTTTCCTTCCATCAGGAACGCCATCCTCTTGTCTACTACTAGTCCCTCACCCTTAACTTCGTTGCATCCAGCTGTCATTGGCTGCCTGGGGTCAGTTCTGCCTTTTGTCGGGACTGGGATATCTTTGGAATGGTCGGGGGCGGTTGAGTTTGTGAGGGTGAATCATAACTCTGTGTACATCCTACCCTAAGTACACCGTCTATTTACATTATAGTTTACAATATAACATGCCGACGTTTGTCGGTTTACACGTGGTATCCTTTCGTTAATAGTTCGTAATTCCTTTCTAATCTCTCGCCTAGAGCCGATGGCTTGAGACTGTCACTTCCTTCATTACTATTACTCGATACACCATCTCCGTCCTACCCTAGGTACACTGATCCATTTACACTTTATTTACAATAATCTTTACAGTAATACCATTTCCGACTTTCAGTCGGGACTATGTAGTGTCTTTCCCTTTCCAGGCAATCCAGGCAATCACTTCATTATAACTTCCCATTCTGGGGTGTATGATTCGAGCCTGTCTCTCTCGTCTTCCCCTATTTCGACTCATGAGGACATACAAGTATTATTCGCTGATGTGAACCTTTTTCCTCTCTCCCTTCATTTCACAGTTCTACCCTACCCTATCATACTGCTTCACCTCTAACATATTCTACTCCTAAAGCTTAAATTACTGAAAGCCTACGTATGTTTATCGCAATCAACGGTCACAACTATGAACAACAAATATGCATGCTCTGCATACTATCAGCAAATCATGACACACAATATAACGACAGCCATATTTACCGTACTAGCCACATAGGCAATCACTTGTTACATTATTCTCTTATCCTACCCTAAGTCTCGCTGGGCCCGCTGGAGACTGCTTTTCAACATTTAACCACAATAATAGTTTAATGACATGGCTTGTATGAGCAAACATGACTTACTTGAAATAGAGACGCCTGCGAACACCACCGCTTGCAGCACCCATGTCGAACAGAGCCCCCGGCTGCTGGTCGAATATTACGTTTTTAGATTGATCCCATAAAAGCCCTTTTTCCCGTCTTTATACGCTAACATTGCTGGCGCTGCAGTTGGCAAAGAAGTAGGTTAACTCCTCCCATTGTCCTAAATTCCTGGGTGGTAAGTTCTCATTGCTTAACCCCTTTGGTGGTGGGCGAACCCGCAGCGTCTCGTCGCTGTGTATTTGACAATTTCATCTTACTCCAGTGGCCTAATAAAGCGTGTATTCTGCTTGTGCGATTATGCATTTCTGCTGATTACGAGCATTCTTCACCTAGATCCCCTGTCCAGGTGTTGCCATCATTGTTCTAGTTGCTGTAAAACGCTTTTGCAAGTCTCGTAACAATTAGGTAATGCAATATTAGAGTTAATTTTTACCGACCACGCAACACGTTTTTATTACTGTCACACTACATGTTTCGACCTCAATAGGTCATCCTCAGGTGTACGAACACAGTTGCACGATCACAAGCAATCACATTCGTTTTTCCACTTATTTCGATCCTGTATCCTGTTCAGGTCCACGCTCAATAATATATGTTAAGTTCTTCTTATAAAATACAAGTTAAAAATACTATTCCAAATGTTAAAAGTTAAATTAATATATATATAGTTCACTTTAACTAGTTATATTATTACCACTGGTTAAAAAGTTCCCGAATTAAAGTTCAGCTTATCATATTGGCTGCACCTTCACTTCTGAAGGTCTTGCTGCTCTTCCGCGTCCTCTGATGCTGGATCTATTACGTCCCTTGTCATGAAGGGTCGGTAAAAATTACCGTATTTACGCATGTATAGGCCGCAATTTTTTTTGCCAAAAATTCAAGTGGAAAACTGGGGTGCGGCTTATATTCGAAATATTCGAAAACACACTTCATTTAAAAAAAAATTATATTCATAATTAGTAATACAGGATGTTCAAAGATCGAGGAAACCGGGGCAGCAGCGTAGAGCGGATGGAACGTTTCTCCGCGACTACTGTGCCCCTCCCCGCTAGCGAGAGTGCAGTCGTGTCGCTGATACCCTTACATCAGTTTCTGTACATGCACACATTTATAAGAATACTGTAAAAAGATAACACAAACTTACCGTGCTTTATAACAGGTGCTCAAAGTGACCCCCTTCTGCTTGCAAACATGCTTCGCGTCGCATGAATAAATTATGCGACACTTTCTGAAGTTGGTCCACGGTAATTGAACCATATTACTGTTCATCACTTGACTCGTTACTGTCGATGTCGCTCTCGCTCGAAGTTTCGCTGTCAGGTGATGTCAGCCATACAGCGTCATCTTCAGTCCCGTCCATTGCGTTGGAAATGGATGTGACTTTAAAACTTTTGGAAACCATTTCTTCTGGTATGGTGTTCCATGCAGCCACAATCCACTCACACATTTGACTTAATGAAGGTTTCTTCAATCGTCCAGTCGGCGTCATCTCCGTGGAACCGCATCTCCAGTCCCGGTAAAAGCGCCGCAAATGAGACTTGAAAGGACGGTTTATTGACACGTCAAGTGGTTGTAACATGCCAGTCATCCCCCCTGGTATCACAACCATATCACTTTTCTCCTGCCTCATCTTCACTTTCACATTTTCAGTTAAATGGCTTCGAAAACTGTCAACCACTAACATTGACCGCTGACGTAAAAGTGCGCCTGGGCGCCGAAACCACACTGATTTCAACCAATCCAGATAGAGCTCTTCTGTCATCCATCCTTTTTCTTGAACTCTCACCAAAATTCCCGGTGGAAGCTTTTCTTTCGGCAATGTTTTGCGTTTGAAGATTACAAATGGTGGTAGTTTGTTTCCATCAGCAGTGATACCAAGCATTACGGTACACCGCTGCTTTTCTGCTCCTGCAGTCCGCACATGCACTGTTTTTTCGCCTGCTTTGTTCACTGTACTTTCACCCGGCATTTCAAAGAACACAGGAGTTTCATCAACATTTCCAATAGCTCCCATTGTGTAGTTGTGCGTCTTTCTTAATTTCAGGACATGTTTTTGAAATGCAAGCAGTTTCTCCTGGTATGTGTCGGGAAGGCGCTGCGCTATTGACGTCCGTCGCCGAATTACAAGATCATGTCGGGCCATAAAGCGCCTTGCCCATCCATAACTTCCCTTAAATTCATTACGAGGAATTTTCATTCTGTCCGCTATTTTGAGGCCTTCAAATTGAATCATTTCCACAGACACTGAAAATCCATCCGCCCGTGTATTACGCACGTATCGCAAAAGTTTATTTTCAAGTTCTGGAAATGTAGCTTTCTTTCCGCGGAAAGATTATCGATTTTGTGACGTTTTTTCAAGGGCATCTTTCGTTAGTATCCATCTTCGCACATTTTTTCGTCAACGTCGAATTTTCTCCCTGCTGCTCGATTTCCGTGTTCTTGTGCGTAACGCACCACTTGAAGAATAACCTGCTCTTACTCGACCCATGTTTCACTCAGAACTAACCAGGCAAGTCAAGTAAAGGCGAAAAGGTTATAACTCTCCCCCGCAATGCCTTTGTTCCGAGCGGTACCGTTATTTTCGCTAGTTGCGAACTTAGGAATGTTAATTAAACATTGCCAAATTTCGGAATAATTTCTACTCCTGAAATAATATTCCAAAAAAATTATTTTTTCTATAATTTGTCTGAAAATTGTGCTGCGGCCTATACATGCGTAAATACGGTAACACTAATATTGATTAAATACACAACAGGATGCAAGAAACAATTAAAATTAGGCAATGACTTTGATTTCAAGTCTCGAAATTGTGCCATAACAGAAGCCGAGACTCGAACGCAGTCCTGCTACTGTCACTACTGTAATAATAATGATCCCTCGCGACCGCGCTACCCAAATTATATTATACAAAGAAATCTGGGTCAGGTCAGGGTGACGTTTTCACAGGTGGCATGATGCGTGTGTTCAAAGTCCATCCACGCATGATGTCATCAGCTCTCTAAGACGAGGGCATGTTATCCCCTTATACCTAAATAATAACAGAACCCAAGGCCTACACACATCACCGGAAATAGCCTAATTACTCGGATAAATAAAACATGTCTCCATTTTGTTAATGTAAGTTAAGTACCTGTTCCCTCAATCAGCAAATACAGCTGGTGCTACACTTGAAAATAAACACCTGTTATGCGTGTGTCAGGAAATCCGCGATTATACACCAAGTACATTAACACATCTTAAGTTTAGCATTTTCTTGTACTTGTATACATTACAGTCAAGACTGGCGTGCCAGATATGGTCCATCCTTTAATATTATCGTTATTATATAATTGTTATTAAGTCATACATATTATATTATAGGGAAATGCCTAAAATAAATACAACACAAAGGGATAAGGGTTAGATCCTCATGACACAACCTCATGACACAAGAGCTGTAGCGAGGTGTCGCAATAATTACAAACACAGGAGTCTTTGAAGAAAGCAGTATTCTAAGATGTGGCACCGTGTAGAAGTGGTGTTAACCGACGTTTCGAAGGAACGTGTAGCATCCATCTTCAGGGTAGAAGGAAAAATAAGGAAATCCGTCAGCGAAGAGGCAGCGAGAATCTGTGCAGGCATCCCAGATGACTGCTTTCTTCATAGTCACTGCCGTGAAAACCTCAAATCTTATGGCATATGTGGGACTGCGTGTACAGATTCACATTTCTTTGACCTCGGCACTATTTGGAGCTTCACGACCCGGCCGCGTTATCCCAGGGAAAGAGCAACCGGCACCCACTGGATAGGAGGATGGGTGTGCCCCAGAGCCGAGAGTATGACTAAAAAAGATACGTTTTATCAAACATTAGAGAACTGAACATGATATATATCAAAATGCGTATTAATCAGAACCACCCAAATAAATAACTCTGAATAACATTTCTATTATATAAGTAAATAAGGCCCCAGCATACACATCTACATACTGAGATCTGACATTAAACCTACTGGATGAGGTAAGAAGAGAGGAATGTCCTTTCTAAGCAAACCATGTTATCAGCGAGGAACCGACAACATAGACGTAAGCTACAGGATAATTACGTATGCACACTTGCGTCATCTTCCGCAATGGCGCACCAGCTATTTCAACGCTTTACTGTTTGTCAACTCTCAAAGTTTAAAAATTATTGCCAGAAATAAATAATAAATTTGCTGAAGATACAATGCGTGCTAATCCTAATTCTTCAGACACCGTGGGATACATACACACTTTATATATTACCTTTTAGGAGCCTAGCGACACCATATGGGGACCTTTAAAGTATAGTTGAGTGGCCGTGCGACACGGTGTGGGTACGCGCAGTCCACGCGTGCGCACAGTGTTTTAAAATCTAATTATAAGATAGAAATTCTTGTTCTACTTACATTATTTTTGGACAGCAGCTTTGTAAGTACACAGTCTTCCCTCCTGCGTCATCTAACTGAATTTTGCCTTCGTGTGGTATCGTTGGAAACATCCGGAAATGCAGAGTCCGATGTCGCACTTGGTGCACTTTGTCTGGACTCCATTTCCCATGCAAAGAGCACACACGACACCTCAGTCTCTTATTAGAGGAAGTCGGCCAGTGATGTCCAATGGCCTCCTCTAATCGAGATATCGCAGATAACACAGCAGGAGGTCGACCCATGAACCTTTGAGGGCGAGGTGGACCCCTTGCAGCATGTCCCAGCATGTTGCGCACAAGGGCGAGATGAAATTCTCTGTGTGACAATTTCGCGCCACAGGATGACAACAGGATGAAACTGTTCAGAATCGTCAGATCCAGGATATGGAAAAATAGTTTATTTGTCCATTTCCAGGTCCGACGACTGATGCTATAACTGTCTACCATTCTGTCCGCTTTGTTGACATAACCCATGTGCGTATTGTAGTCAAAACAATTGCCACAGTTTGCCCACAGCTCCACCTGAATAATTATTCACACTCCTCTTGTCACGCTGGTGTGGTGGTCCCTAGGTTGCCGACGAAGATGATGGGTCTTCGTCGAAATCCATTTCTGAATCACTTTCCTCAACGCCACTCTCAGAATTGTCGGTAAAACAATCTGATTCAGAGTCATTTATGAGTTGAAAAATGTCTGAATCTTCCAAACGAGATGACGCCGTGGTGAGCTGACAATATCACTGTTCTCGCTGCAAAACTTTGAAGCTGCATGACACTGCTTGGCTGTGGTAGAAAGACGATAGCCTTGAGAGTTGTGATAAACTAACCGAGCAGGGTCAGAACAGAGAACTTGTTGTGTATAAACAATCAATTTTCTTATACGCGAAGAGATACACGCCCACATCTCTGCATACCGAAAGAAGGTACGTGTATAAGCTTCGAGACATGCAAGACTAAACATGTCTACATAACCATCCGCTGTGTTGCCACATCTACATACAGCATTCTTAGCTTCACGAACTGTATGAATTCTTGTAGACAGATGACAAATTTGGGAGTTTTATACTTGGAATCAGTCTAAAAATGTTTACATATTTTATAAAGTCTGTAAATTACACTATCTGATTCTATATTCTTTCTAGGAAAAAAAACAGCGTTTATTTGGTTCGTTTATCACAAAAATTGTAGAAATCAAAGCAATTTTAGGAAATGATTACAGTTTTTATTGCTTTAAAATTGCGGGTATTTAAATCAAATCCGTACCGCTGCCATTACCGGAATTTAAAGGGCTGTCACTTAAAGGTTAAAGTCGCTACTTGTGATTAGCATTTCAAAATTTGAACCTCAATTTAATCAGATTTTAAGAATGCAAAAAGAGTTCCATCACTCACATTAATTGTTTTATTATAATTTGTGATGAAAATATGATCATTTGCTACTACTGTCTGTTGTCATTAATATACGATAATTTATTCTCATGTACTTTGTATTCAGTTTATGAAATTCTGTGCTTTCAATAAATCTCATATACCTAGAGTTACTAATTTTTCATTTTATTCGACCCGTTGAAAGTGCTGAATTACCTAATGTGACCCGCGGTTCGAAAAGTTTGGAGACCCTTGCTCTAAGGCAAAGGAGACCTAAAGCAAAAAGGAGTGCCTCAGTGCCAAATCACTTTCTTTTTTGATCTCATAACAGACCGCTCAGTTTCTCTGCTGGTATTTTATTTGGTATCCCTGTAACAGGCTGTGGAGGCCCATAGAGTTGTGAGCTGTTGAGGTTCCCACATTTTCTAGACAATCAGCTCATAGATGGCAGCTGGGTTGTCAGCCCAACATGCCAGCCTCCCTTTACCCCAATAATATACCTGGTACTCACTTCTGTTAGAGGCTGAGTCGACCCCAGGGCCATAGTGCAGCCGGAAGGATTAGGTAAATTGGAAAAAAATTCCAGTGACCTCAATGGGACTTGAACCCACGACCTTCTGGCTTGTAGTATAGTGCTTCAAACTCTGCTGATATTCACAATGAAAAGATGTAAGCAAGTCTTTCATGATGCTTTCAATTAAATTCTCTGTACTACTTCAATTCTCCACAAGCAGAATCAACATATCTTTATTTAACTTTCATTTTATAATCAATATACCAAGTATCCTGTAAAAAGATATTTCGCCTCCAATGTCCAATGTTCGTATTCATCTGACCAATCCATAACAGTTATCTCAATATACTCAATTCAAGTAATATATCAATTTGAATCTAACTGATCAATGAATTTAGTAACATGTAATGGCAGAAGAGCACAGATAACGTATAGCAAAAAGCATATGCTGCTGCTGAATTATGTGTATAAGCTGTCGAACTGTTTCAGTGACTACACTCTATTCATCATTAGCTTCCAGTGCTGAATTGACATCATAACTGCAGCAGAAACTCATGTTATGTCTGTTTCCACTCCAGAAGACAGGGTCTTGTGCACATTCAGCAATCAGAATCAAATGCAACTCATTTGCACAGATGTTTTGTACCGTGGGACTCAGTTCATTTCCCATCAGTTCGAAAGGTTAGCAATAGCAATCTACTCCAATATTCTACAAAATTGAAGCATGCCACACACAGCAAAACTCTCTTACTTACAACATGAAAAAATTGTGGCATGCTACAACTCACATACTGTTCCTTTAGTCTAAACCCATCTCTACTGCTATATGATTTACTACACACACATCAACATGTATGTGCTGATGTCTCTTCATGCTACTCTGATGACTGAATGACCTATTACATACATCACAGCAAAATGGCTTCTCCCCACTATGTATGCGCTGATGTCTCTTCATGCTAATCTGATCAACGAATGACTTATTACATACATCACAGCAAAATGGCTTCTCCCCACTATGTATGCGCTGATGAATCTTCAGATGGCATGACTGACTGAATGACTTATTACATACGTCACATATAAATGGCCGTTCCCCAGTATGCACGCGCCGATGGGTCTTCAGATTACTCTTATCACTGAATGACTTACTACACACAGCACAGAAAAACGGCCGCTCCCCAGTATGTATGCGCTGATGTGTCTTCAGAGTACTCTGCTGTCTGAATGACTTATTACACTCATCACAACTAAATGGCCGCTCTCCAGTATGTATGCGCTGATGCCTCTTTAGATGACGCTTAGATCTGAATGACTTATTACACCTGTTGCAACAAAGTGGCTGCTCCCCACTATGTATGAACTGATGTACTATCAGAATTTGCTTTTGACTGAATGAATCACCATACTCATCATGGGAATATCGTCGCTCCTCACCAAGTACGGGTCGAAGTTCATTCAAATGACTCTGGAAAATAAGAGTAAATACCCTGAAAAATCCTAATACGAAGAGAAATGATTTTGATGCTCCAATACAGTGAGATGTTAAATCAGTAGGCATGAGAGTGGTGACAGAGAGGAGAGGGAGAAACAGAGAGAGCACACCCCCTTGTGTGGTATGTGCGTGAATCCATCAGTGTATTTGGAGGTTTCTGAGTCAACAGAAGTTAAGCTGCACTGCCACTGTTTAACAAACTGGAAATTAAATAAAATTATGCATTTGTAAGGCTGGACAGGCATCTAATTAACAGTGGATAGGCTCCATAAATGAAATAACAATAAAGGCTGAGCTAAAAATGATACTACTCGTAAGGCTGCATATGGCCCAGCAAGATTCCCGAAACAATGTGCGTGCGTGCATGCGTGTGGGTATATAAAAGCCCTCAAAAAGAATAGCATAGCGTCAGTTAGACAGACATGTCCAACCTGATACAATGAACAAATCCATGTAAGTCATCTCCTAGGATTCCACACAAGATTCCTTGACAACTTACGGTTTTCCCACAAAATGGCCACTACTTCCAGATGTGTCAAATAGTAATGGCAATGTTTAATAAAAACAAATGTTGATATAGTGACTTCATGTTTTAAAATACAGAGGGGTGTTGTGTAGACAGTGCATTCTTGTAGGCCTTATATCTTATCCGAAACACACAGCAGGCTGCAAACTATTAAGATGGTAATGGGCACACCACTCTGTGTAGGAGGAGCAGTGCGAATGCCTTGAAACAGCTACATTATGTGTCAGGTAACTGTGCCTCATTTCAATGCATATTAACACGATTTCCTGCTCCCTGATGGAGAACTTCCCCTTAAAGGGCGAACTTCTACCCACAACAAATAATGTAAACAAGCGTTAATAAGGTCTGCTACAGGAGAGGTTACCACATGTGTCTGTAAACTGAGACGGTAGAATGCCAAACATGAAATAATTTAAAGAAGGTATTGCAATCCAACAAACCACAGAACAACTTCTGCACCAATTCGAAACTAATGATTATACTGCATTAAAATAACAACACTTTACATGTATAAATTTAATACATCAGTACCTTGAATTTGCAACTGCCACTACCATCCAAAGTATTGTAGCGTGTTTGTGTGTTATGCTACAAATAAGTTCACGCCGTGGTTTGATATAGCGAGTTTATTCTGTTCGCTCACATTTCACACACTTCACAGGCATTTTCACTTGCAGTGTCACAATCACTGCTTACAATATTCCGGCGATACTGGACCCAGACGGATATTCCGAAGCTTCTTCTCCGATGGCTGTTCCGCGACTCTCTTCTTCGAAGACTATTCCGAGACTCACTGTTTTTCGCTGCAGCTGGGCTATCTATAACCTTGCCCGCTGTTAGGCAACGAACCCTCCGTTATAACCATGGAGACTCCTGTTAGAATTACAATGGAGCAATTGTTGTCTCCTCTGTAACGGTCTATTGTAGCGTTTCCATAGAAGTTACTCCTCTGGTTTGCCGACACGTTACACTGCTCCCTTCTAAAGGTTGTTCGTCCCCGAACAGCCTAAAGGTTCTCCCTCGGTTTCGATTCTGCGGTGATTTGCTGGCAACGTCTGCATTCAGCCTTGGTCTCCTGCGCGAGTCTTGTTGCGCTGTTCCTCTTACCGTATCCGCCCCTCTCTTCAGTTGTGCTCATCCCGAGCACTTCCATAGCCGAGAATTTGTTGGTCTCGTTGTCGTGCCTCACATTCATTCTTCACTTTCACACTTCATGCACCATTGTTGGGGAGGCCGGTACTTTACCGGTTCCCCCCATAAAGGTCGTTACCCTTTTTCCGTTTTGGAGGGGGTCGGCCCCTCCACAGCGTCCAGTTCTTGTTTCCCCACTCCCTGTTGGGTTCCTTGGGAATGTGTTTCATGTTTCCCAGAGCATAGATCTCATATAATCTCATATAATAATCCTTGAGCGGCCCTTCTCTCCGCGTTGCTCGCTCGCTCGTGGTCCCGACGCTGTTACTCCCAACCATGCTTTTCTTGCGCCAGGCCATTCCTGGACAGGACGTCATTTTGCCGGTCTCCTTTGCCTGCCGTGCCACTATCGCACGGGGGTTCGTCCCTCTGTGGGTGACGGCCAGTTTCTTCCGCTGGCATCCGAAGGTTCCCTTGGGAGTCTCCTTCTTGAAGTCGTTTCTCCAACGTCGTGCCACTGTCGCACGAACGGGATGTCATTTTGTGTGTGATGGCCAATGCCTTTTGGGGCCCACGATTTTCCCCTGCCGAATCCTTCGGTTCCTGGCGGCGGCGCTCCGCGGTCAGTTTCTTGTCCCTACGCCGTTTCTTTGGTTCTCCGACCAGTATTCTCGCGGCGTCTTCTACTGGGACTTCTCGATGCTCCAGTCCAGACTGCATCGGTTCTGAGTGGGGCTCAAACTTCTCGTGGGTAGTCCTCCAATCGGCCATCATCTGTGCGTGTCTGGCTTCCGCCTTCGCCTGGTTTGCCTGCATTAAGGCCAGCAATTCATTCTTCTCCGCTTTTCTATTAGCCTCGTTGACGTCTGATTTTTCTTCGTAAGCTGTCATTTTCTTCAGCAGAAGTTCCATCATCTGCTGCATCTCCATTTTTTTTTTGTTGTTGTTGGTGTAGGACGCGTGTTAAAGTTTGTAAAACACTTCTGACACCAATGTAACGTGTTTCGAGTTCGAAGCTCGTTGGTCACGTGTGTAAGTTCAAATCCCACTTCTGACACCAATGTAGCATGCTTGTGTGTCACGCTACAAATAAGTTCACGCCGTGGTTTGATATAGCGAGTTTATTCTGTTCACTCGCATTACACACACTTCACAGGCATTTTCACTTGCAGTGTCACAATCACTGCTTACAATATTCCGGCGATACTGGACCCAGACGGATATTCCGAAGCTTCTTCTCCGATGGCTGTTCCGCGACTCTCTTCTTCGAAGACTATTCCGAGACTCAATGTTTTTCGCTGCAGCTGGGCTATCTATAACCTTGCCCACTGTTAGGCAACGAACCCTCCGTTATAACCATGGAGACTCCTGTTAGAATTACAATGGAGCAATTGTTGTCTCCTCTGTAACGGTCTATTGTAGCGTTTCCACAGAAGTTACTCCTCTGGTTTGCCGACACGTTACAGTATATAGTATAGTAACTTTACATGCTGTGTGGGTGTGCGTGCACCGAAACCTGGAAGGTCCTGCCTGACTGGTTTGCATTTCATAACCTTGCTTGGTTCCAGCTTATAAATTTCTTTATAGCATGATAACACATTGTGGGAACTGCCCACATTCAAGCGTGACAACGCAAGCGTCATTGCTTAGCAACGTCGAGTAAACAACGGTTGCTAGGCAAAAGCAAGTAAACAGCGGTTGCTAGGGAACTTATAAACACGGTAACCGGCAACAGCAGTACCTATTACGTAACCGTTTTCTATATGTCCGACTCTAGGCTACATAAGAAGATACACTGAGTTACAGTGACAGTCTAGTTCTACCGTTCTACAATACCAGTTCAGTGTTCAAGCAGTTCACTATTGTTATCCGTCTGTGTATACTGTGCAGCTGCAATACATCCTAAAGCACAGTTCCAACTAGTGGTTGTCTCTTCATTCATACGACATCCCACATTGGTGACCCCGACAATTCAACACAAATAATGGACAGCGGTCGAATAGAAGACCTCCTGCAACAGTACGTAACACAAATGAAAGAAAAACAGCATGATGCTGCTATTACTAGCAGACCAGTACCAACAGAGACACCAAGAATTGCCGTGCGGCTTCCGCCGTTCTGGGCCGACAGACCAGCAGTTTGGTTCGCTCAAGCCGAAGCACAGTTCACTTTGGCCGGTATCAGTAGCGAGTGGACGAAGTTCTGCTAAGTGATCTCGCAGTCGGACCAACGTTACGCATCGGAAGTAGAGGACATTATCACCTCTCCACCCGAACGAGGCCCCTATACCCTACTGAGGACCGAGCTTGTGAGGCGGCTATCCCCATCGCCAGAGCAGCGCATCCGGCAACTCCTCACGGTCGAGGAAATTGGCGACTGTAAGCAGTCCCAGTTCCTGAGCTACCTCAAAAGCCTCGCACCAGACGTGTCTGATAACGTCATCCGAAGCGTCTGGACCAGCCGGCTACCCCGCAAAGTGCAGAGCTTCCTCGCCGGCCAGAACGAGAGCAACCTGGAGGCCGCAGCCCTCCGTGCACACCGCATCTCCGAGGTCGAAGTCCGGCCAGCACTCGCTAGCGTTGATGGACCCACGGACATCGGCGCACTTCGGCAGGAGATCGCTGATCTCTCCCGCCAAGTGGCTGCATTGAGCACCGGACAAGACCACCTCCACGCCGGCTTCAAAAATCTCGACACCAAACCAAGAGACAGAGGCTCCAGTCCCAAAGGTTCCTGCCCCGCCTTCAACAACCTCCGGCCCGGCAGCAGATCCCTTTCCCGGGGCAACACCACATCCAGTATCTGCTGGTACCACCGCAGCTTCGGCACTAGGGCACAGAACTGTACTCCGCCCTGCTCCTACCGCCGGCAGGGAAACTGACGCAGCGGACATCATCGGCGGCACATGTCTGCGGTACAACAGGCCGCCTCTTCATAACGGACAGAGTCAGCAAACGGCAGTTCCTAGTCGACACGGGTTCGGACCTCTGTGTATATCCCCGCAGGCTCGTCCATCGACGCATGGAACGTACCACCTATGACCTGTGTGCGGCTAATGGCACTACCATCCACACATACGGATGGCTGCCTCTCAGCCTCAACTTGGGCCTACGCCGAGAATTCACGTGGCGCTTCGTGGTGGTCGACGTCCCTCATCTTATCATCGGCGTGGACTTCCTGTCGCATTTCGGTCTCCTGGTGGACTGTCGGAACAACCGCATCCTGGACGGGGTCACGACGTTGTCAGCCCCGGCATCAGCGGCCAACGCACTGATCCCCAGTGTAAAGACCATCAGCAGCAACACACCGATCGACAGCCTCCTCACAGAGTTCCCGGACCTGACCCGCCCAGCTGGAGTCCAGCGCGAGATACGACACAACACCGTCCACCACATCAGGACTGTGCCCGGCCCACCAGTAACCTGCCGACCACGGCGACTGGCACCGGACCGACTCGCTATCGCAGAAGCCGAGTTCAACGCCACGTTGCGGGATGGTACAGCTCGTCGATCAGAGAGTTCATGGTCCTCGGCACTACATATTGTGCCCAAGAAAGACAACGGTTGGCGTCCTTGCTGCGACTATAGAGCACTCAACGCCTGGACAATCCCTGACCGCTACCCAGTCCCGCATATCCATGACTACTCACACCAGCTCCATGGCTGTACCATTTTCTCCAAAATCGACTTGGTACGAGCGTATAACCAAATCCCCGTCAATCCCGGTGACATACAGAAGACGGCCATCACCACTCCATTCGGCCTATTCGAGTTCCCCTTCATGTCCTTTGGCCTGCGCAACGCCGCACAGACCTTCCAACGCTTCATGGACGACATTCTGCGGGGACTCGACTTCTGTTTCGCTTACCTGGATGATATCCTCATCTTCTCCCGGTCTCTAGAGGAACACGAGCAACACCTACGGGCACTCTTTGACCGACTGCAGAAGTATGGGATCCTCATCAACCCGGCGAAGTGCGTCTTCCGAGTACCTGAGATCACCTTCCTTGGTTATAAGGTGTCCGCCGAAGGCTCCCAACCGCTGGAAGAACGAGTGACTCACCTTCAGGAATGTCAACCTCCCAAAACCGCCAGTCAGCTCCGCCGTTTCCTGGGCATGCTGAACTACTATAGGCGATTTCTGCCCCACGCGGCAGCACACCAGGCACCACTGCACGACGTCCTTTCCGGGCCCAAGGTCAAGGGCTCCCACCCAATCACATGGACACCGGAGCTCCACAGAGCCTTCGAAGAGTGCAAGGCGAGTTTGTCACGCGCCACACTACTGGCTCACCCCGATCCATCCGCGCCACTTGCACTCGTCACAGATGCCTCCACGTCCGCAATGGGTGCCGTGCTACAGCAACGCGTCAAGAACGCCTGGCAGCCCCTGGCATTCTTCTCAAGGAAACTCAACCCGGCCCAGCAAAAATACAGTGCGTATGACCGCGAGCTGCTGGCCATCTACGAGGCCGTAAAGCACTTTCGCCACATGCTGGAAGCGCGCCACTTCAGCATCTTCACAGACCACAAACCTATCACCTACGCTTTCCAGCAGAAAAGGGACAAATGCTCACCAAGGCAATTCAACCACCTGGATTTCATAGCACAATTCACGACCGACATCTGACACATCTCGGGACAGGACAACGTTGTTGCCGACGCGCTCTCCCGCGTCGAGTCCGTCACGGCGCCACCATCCTACGACGCATTGGCCGCATCGCAGGACAGCGACGACGAGCTCCAATCACTTCGGCAGTCAAACACGGCTTTGCGGCTCGAAAAGCTACCAATCCCCGGTACCACGGTGTCCATCTACTGCGATACCTCTGCCGGGAAACCTCAGCCGTACATCCCAGCTCCTCTACGGTTCGAAGTTTTCCAGTCCGTCCATGATCTGTCGCACCCAGGGACCAAAGCAACGGCAAAACTGGTCGCACAGCGATTCGTGTGGCCAGGCGTGCAGAAGGATTGCCGCACCTGGGCACGTGCTTGCCAGGCCTGCCAGCGCTCCAAAGTCTCCCGCCACACAGTCACTCCACTGGCGACTTTACAACGCCGGCAGCCAGATTTCTTCACGTCCACATAGACCTTGTTGGACCCCTTCCGATGTCAGAAGGCTATGCATACTGCCTCACTGCAGTCGACCGTTTCACCCATTGGCCAGAAACCATCCCCATCCCGGACATCACAGCCGACACAGTGGCACGAGCCCTACTGACCGGCTGGATATCCCGTTTCGGTTGCCCACAGACCATCACCACCGACCAGGGACGTCAGTTTGAATCTCAACTCTTCCACTCCCTGGCCAAGCTCTGTGGCATTCAACTATCGAGAACAACTGCTCACCACCCAGCGGCTAACGGACTCGTGGAACGTTTCCACCGAACACTAAAGGCAGCCATCATGTGCCACGCAGACCAACACTGGACAGAAGCCCTACCCCTGGTTCTCCTCGGAATCCGCACGGCATTCAAAGAGGACCTGCAGGCATCAGTTGCTGAGCTCGTGTATGGCGAGCCGCTAAGAATACCAGGAGAGCTGCTAACTCCGACTGCCGAGCCAGTGGATCCAGCGCACCTCATCACCCAACTTCGCCAATACATGGCCCGCCTCAGACCAATTCCAGCAACACGCCATGCCTCCCAGGCTACATTCGTGCACAGCGACCTCGAGAAGTGCACGCACGTCTTCCTCCGGCAGGACACAGCTCGCAGAGCATTGGAGCCCCCCTACAGCGGCCCCTACCAGGTCCTATCACGGAAGGACAAGACAATGCAAATCCTCGTGCGCGGCAGGTTCGTCACCGTGTCAACCGATAGGGTCAAACCTGCCTACATGTTAAACGAGACAGGCCGTGGGACCACCACCGAGACCTTCAACCCTGCAGCCGACGAAACTACAACCGCGGTTCCGCATGCCGTACCACCACAGCCTGTTCAACGAACTACACGCTCTGGACGTCATGTACGTTTTCCTGATCGCTTCAACAGCTGAGCAACCATCTCCGCGGGGGGGTTGATGTGGGAACTGCCCACAGTCAAGCAAGTGTGACAACGCAAACGTCATTGCTTAGCAACAACGAGTAAACAACGGTTGCTAGGCAAAAGCAAGTAAACAGCAGTTGCTAGGGAACTTATAAACAAGGTAACTGGCAACAGCAGTACCTATTACATAACTGTTTTCTATATGTCCGACTCTAGGCTACATAAGAAGATACACTGAGTTACAGTGACAGTCTAGTTCTACCGTTCTACAATACCAGTTCACTGTTCAAGCAGTTCACTATTGTTATCCGTCTGTGTATACTGTGCAGCTGCAATACATCCTAAAGGACAGTTCAACTAGTGGTTGTCTCTTCATTCATACGACATCCCACAACATCTTAGAGTTCACATTTAACCCTGGCAGAATCATCACAGAAAGGATCATGGTTCCAAAATAAACAATAATAATAATGTCACATGTTGGGCGTATACGCAACAAATGACTTCACGCCGTATTGGATATAGCGAATTTTAATTCACATTCGCTGTTACAATCACACAGTTTACAATCTCAACATTACTCCCATCGGCAGTATCACAAATACTAGACTGCAAATGCTAGACTACAATTGACTGGTTGACTTCCTGGCTAACTCGTGACTAACTCGTGACTGTCACTTGAATAGTCTTCGCTGCTCTTTATTTAGCCCCGTTCCCGACAACACAGAAAACAGCCACGTAATAGGCACCACTGTTGTCTGGCGCCATGTTGCTAGCAACGCTGTTGGGAGTTGTTTACGGCTGTATAGCAACCGCGGCATCCCTTGGTCACGTCACTGCTGGTGGGGTAGGGGAAGGAGTGTTGACCTGCCTATTACCCTAGTAACGACAGCGCTCCGATGGTGTTATGTCACTGCTGGCGGGGGGAGGGGTCTCCTGCATAGCGCAACACGTCACAATAATAACAACAATAATTAAAACCCTATGCACTTGAGAGTGTAGTGAGTTTTTGCTTATGTATAACTGCTGAGACTGTGTAATTTTGTAGATATTCTGGTTTATGTCGATGTTCCTATTTCTATGCAGATTTTGTGGAGAACATGATTAATGTATATTACTGTCTCACAGCCTGCAAACAACATGGCGTAATTACAAACTTATTTCTCTTTAGCTTGTGTTGGGTGAGGGGGCAAGGTCACCAGATTTACTGCAAATTTTTCATACCTGTCCCTCACTTGATAACATATCCGTGTGCCATGACAACCAACCACCCGACAGCAGGTACAGAGGCAAGTTCAATGGTGTCAGGTATATTAAATTTACTGCAAACAATGTGCAACAGGCAACATGTCTCTACATGTCACACACTGTCACAAATCTTTAGAGAATCATTAGTTAGCCTATAACAAATCCTCAACATAATGACACCTCTACTACTCTGTCCAAAAACAAATATAAATCACTTCGTCCAATGTGACCTGTAAGTTTATTAATACATGAAAACTTAACACCCTTACATGTTTCGGTCTCTGTGGACCATCTTCAGAGAGCAAACATCACTACAAATAGGAAACCACCATCACACCACGAACACGAGCCTGCATGGTTTACGAATTTTAATTACTGACAATACAAAAAAATTTTTAATTAGCATCAAGAAATTTTATATAATTTTTTAAAAACTTTACATTCCCAGGAAACTGCTGTGTTTGTGAATGTTCTATTTTGTGTACTATGCACTGTAGCATACAATTGTACGTACTTTACGTCTAAACAACTTATGTGATGGTGGTTTCCTATTTGTAGTGATGTTTGCCCTCTGAAGATGGTCCACAACGACTGAAACATGTAAGGGTGTTAAGTTTTCATGTATTAAAAAACTTACAGGTCACATTGGACGGAGTGATTTATATTTGTAATTGTTAGTGTGACGGACCAGAATGAAACAAATCAAACTGTCCAAAAAGTATCCGACCTTGGGCAGGGAAAACAAAGTTCCGTATCTGGGTGGTTACAATACCTAATCCCTCTCGAAGTAGGCCCATTGTGACTCCACACACGTGGCCAAGTGGTCCTTCCATCGCTGGAAGCAATTCTGGAAGGCTTCTTTTGGAATGGCGTGCAGCTGCGCCATCACGTTCTGTATGATTTCCTCACAGCTGTCAAAATGGGAGGGTTTTAGTTGTGTCTTCAATCTCGGGAACAGCCAGAATTCACATGGAGCCATGTCAGGAGAGTAGGGAGCCTGGAGAAACTGCAGAATGCTGTGCTTGGCCAGGAAACCCTGGGTCAGGTGTGATGAATGAGCTGGGGCGTTGTCATGACACAGCTGCCAGTTTCGTGTGTCCCACAGCTCAGGTCTCTTGTACTGATCTACATCACGAAGATGGCAGAGAACTTTTTGGTAGTACTCTTTTTTGAGAGTTTGGCCTGGTGGTGCGTACTCATGATGCACAACACCCTGGTAATTGAAAAAAACAGTCAATATCACCTTCACATTGCTCCGAACCTGTTGTGCTCTTCTGGGCCTAAGGGATGTTGGATGCTTCCATTGTGGCATATGGACCTTCATTTCCCGGTCATATCAGTACACCCATGACTCGTCACCAGTGATCACAGTCTTCAGGAACTCACGATCCTTGTTGGCGCACTCCAGCATGTCCCTGCATGACCTCAAGGCGGTTGCTGCTCTGGCAAAAGCAGCCTGGGCACAAATTTTGTCGCCACTCTTCGCATGCCCAAATCCTCAGTTAAAATTGTGTTTGTGGAACCTCTGCTGATCAAAATCTCATCAGCTACATCCCGGATGATCAAACAATGGTCCTCCATGATCAGTGTCCACACTTTTTTAATGACATCAGCATTTTGCTTCATTGACAGTCTTCCGGAACGCTGGTCACTGTCCACCGACATATGGCCATCTTTAAAGCGGTTGAACCTCTCTTTAATTTGAATGACCCCCACTGCATCATTGCCGAAAGCCTGCTTAATTTTGCGGATTGTTTCTGCTAGGGTTTCTGACAAAACTTGATGCAGTATCGCTGCTCCATGCGTTCTGTCATCTTGAGTGAAACGAGAATGCGACGAGCATGTGTTACACCACTTCGCTATCTGGCAGCCACAGATGCATCCAGCAGTGTTGCGAGTCAGCAAAAAATCATGCATGCGCATGAAAGTCCCTTCTACCACTATGCTCAGTTTCCCCACCCTTTTGGCTGTTACTTACGTCGGAAAAAAATAAAGTTGGATACTGTTTGTACAGCGGTGTATGTTATTGCATGGATACAGATTGCATCAAAGACAGAAAACAAATGATAAACTTCAGCATTTATAGATCCTTGGAACCCTATGATGTAGTACCAAAGCACTGCTTAGTGGATTGGACAGACAAGGAAAATGTGAAGGATTTTTCCTGTATAGAATTTACCACAAACATTCAGTTTACACAGTACTTCATTCCATCTATATTAGATCTGCTCAAAACAAAATGGGAGTGGTACATCACACACAACATTCAACAAACTAGCCAGGGGAAAAAAAAACCTTCAAAATCTAGTCAACAGTGCAGTGGAGTTGTTTCATGTTCACAGAGATGGATATCAGAAAGACAAGTGGCATTTCTGCACACTTGTGTCATCTGCCTAACACTGCACACACAGCTCACCTCAGGTTCAGCCTTTATTTCTGAAAATGTTATTGGGACAGGATCCTCTTCCTCTTCTGCATCTGAGACCGCCTCAGCTTTTACATTGATTGCCTGATTTGCATCATGAGATGTTGGGTATGTCTCACCATATGGACCCACTAAAGCATTCTTCGAATTTCTACAGTTCTGTAAAAACCATCACATCCTTCTCAGAAATGGATGCACAACACCACACATTAAACAGCGTATGCTCTCCTTGCTATGGCTGTTTCTCATCACATCTAACTTATAAGAGCTGTTCTGTACAGATGTTCTTCTCTACAACTATCATGATCACTAGAAAGTACTCGGTTCATAGCTCAGTGACCTTCCCGAGAAACTAACAGTCACTATGGCAGTACAGAAAATATCTGATGTTTGATTCCTAAAAATATCATAATGAAGAGCTCCACAACTTGTAACCTTTGTTTACCAAGCATAATTTTATGGTCAAGTCAAGGAGGATGAGATTGGCAGCTCATATAGCAGGCATGGGGGACAAGAGGAATGCATATAGGATTTTCTGAGAAAGCCAGAAGGAACGAGACCACTAGGAAGACCTAGGCACAGGTGGGAAGATAATATTTACGTGGTCCTTTAAGAGACACAGGATGGGGTGGTGTGGACTGCATTCATAGGCCTCAGGATAGGGACTTGTGACGGGTTTTTGCGAACATGTCAATAAATTTTCAGGTTCTATACAATGTTGGGAAATTCTTCAGTGGCCAAGCAACTGGTGGCTTCCCAAGGACTCACTCAGCTCCATGGAGTTAGTTATGGTACCTAAATGCTATAGTCAAGGAGTATGAGATGGGCAGCTCATATAGCAGGTACAGGGGAGAAAAGGATGCATATAGAATTTGTTGAGAAAGCCAGAAAGGGCTCATTACTGTGCTCATCATGGCTCTGCATCCTAAGGCAAACAGACTCACTACAAACCCTTCCAAATTATTTCTTTAGAATCCATCTATCTTAATAGCATCTTTCCATTCGCGCTTAGGTCTCCCAAGTGGTCTGCTTCTCTCAGGTTTTGCCTCAAAAACTTTGTAAGCATTTCCCACTATAGCATGTGCACTACATCACTTACCCACATCACCCTCCTTGAACTCATTGCTCTCCTACATATTATCCCAACCGTTATCACCCAAGTGTAAGAAACTCCCCACATGGATTATGCAAACAAACAGAAGCAGGTAACAAAATATTTAGTTTCTTTGGCCAAGACAACTGAAATACAACAATAAAACTCTTCTATGTGCACACAAGCACGAAACACTCACAATCCTTTCGCTTACATCAGTAAACTTCTTCAGCTCTACACAGTA